CAAAAAAAGTCAAGTTCACTCCCACACCAAGCCCCCCTCTGTGCTTTATCAGTGATGTCATCTAGACACACACAACAACAGTCCTAAAGGACAAATATAAGTAATTACACAAGGAAAAAGAATGACTAAATAATCTGAGTGAAAATGCTATCGAAAAACAACAACAAAACAACAACACAAGCCCTGCCATGGGAAGAAAATACAGTGGTGCCCCACTTGATGATTATCTCATTAGACGAGGAAATTGCTTAACGATGAAGTTTTTGCGATCGCTTTTGCGACTGCAAAACGATGTTTTAATTGGGGGAAATCGCTTCACAATGATAGGTTCCTTGATTCGGAACCGGTTCAATGCGTTCTGATGGGTGAAATACCTCAGTGTCCAGCGAAGATCCTCCATAGGGTGGCCATTTTCCGGTGCCTGTAATGCGAGGAATCCGTCCTAAAGCACAGCAGGGAGCCATTTTGCACAGCGAGAGGCCATTTTGAAGACCTGATTATCAGATGTTTTGATCGGCATTAAGCGAAGAATCGGTTCCCGAAGCAGGGAACTGATCATCGTAAAGTGCATTTTCCCTATTAAAAACTTCATCGTAAAGCGATTTCCTTGTCTAACGAGGTAATCGTCAAGTGGGACACCACTGTACCTTTGTCCTCACAACAAACTTGTTATGTGGATGACTACAATCCCTATTTAATTGTCTAGCAACCTGAAGCTGAAGAAACAGAGCACAGCTGAGTTGAGATGTGAAGCCTGATTTTCCCTAGCCCAAATCAACTAAGCTGTTAATACTGATCATTTATTTAGCATTCAACAACAGCTTTACATATCCTGGTCCAAAAAACAATGGGAGAAAGAGAGGGTATATCACCATTTCACAGCAAGAAAGCACCCAGTGTACAAATATCTGCACAGGCTGCATCAGAAAAACTATTATGAGGCAAGGCACATAATTTATATGGGCATTACTGCACTGCAGAAACACAACACCCCCCATATTCTGCCTTCCAGAAGGCATGCATAAATCCTGCAAAGCAGATCTGCATGCAGTCACTTGTTTCTGTACACAAACTGTATCTAAAGAACTGGGCAAGTGAGCTGCTGACCCACCTCAGGTACATACTGACCTCAACCATCTCACTCCTACCTGCCTTCTGCCCAAATGCACAGGACATGTGTGTTGATGTGTTTGGTTGTCTGCCTCTATACATGAGTGTGCGTGCACCTCAGAGTGTGTATATAAACACTGACTTTTGTCTCTGGCTCCTCCCACCATTCATTACTGCGCCTCCTGCCTCACCAACTATAGTGGGCACTAGTTGACATTGTATAACTGTCTCAATCTTGTTCATAAACACATCAAGCCACTGAGATGGCCAATTTATTTCCATTCCACACAGCGGTAAAGCAGCCAAGCCAGAGAAAATATCGTTCACTGAGATGTAGAGTGTCTAGTTTGAATGGAATTTGAATCAAGGACTCACATACCCCAATCCATCATCACATCTAACTTTGAGAGCACTAATGGACAAATATGCTGGTGGAAAATAGATGGGTAATGGAGTCCTGACATATTGCCAGTTTGTAAGATAAACTCTGTAGTTCCCAGCTTTTCAAAAATACAGGGAGTCCATCATATATGGAGCATCCTGTCTACATGAAGGAATACTGTACATTTCTGCATGTAGGTTACATTTATTCTAACAGAGGGATTGAAAATGGTTTCATCCTTTACAGATGGAATATGTGTACACATCATAGAAGTAGAGACCCACAGGTATGAATCCAGACTGAAGTAGTCAAGTGGAGTGCCAGTGAAATCAATAGGACTTAATTTAGTCATGATGCTGATTTAATCTGAAATGAATCCATACAGTTTTGTTTGAAAAGACATTGCAATTGTGTGCCGAACTCTCACAATCTTTTATGCTATTTGCTGACACTCACTGGAACTCCTCTTATGTATGACAAATGGAGATAGATTGTTGAAATCTGCAGCAAATGTCCAGAGACAGGCTTTGGAACAGTTACTTTTACAAGGGGGTGCTGATACCTATATATCTGAGAATATCACGTGAGAGAGTTGGTGCCATTAGCCACAATGACTTGGAATTGAGAAAGCTGGCAGCAAAGTGGATCCCCAAACTTTTGACAACCCAACAAAAGAGGAAATGTGTGGAGTTTTGGAGTTTCGGTGGCTATTTTGTAACATTTTGCAAAAGATGAGTCAGATTTCCTGGGCAAACTGGTAACTGGTGATGAGACATGGATCTACTGTTATGATCCTGAGTCTAAGGAATGAAGGCACATTGGTTCCCCAGGCCAAAGAAGTTCAGAGTGCAAAGGTCGATGCAGAAGCAAATGGCAACAATTTTTTGGGATAAGAAGGTAGTTCTGCTGGTGGACTACCCCCAACAGGGTTCAACCATCAATGCAAAATATTACTGTGCTTTATTGACAAAGTTGAGGCAAAACATCAAGGAAAAACATCAAGGAACGCTCTCCAAAGGTGTCATCCTGTTGCATGACAACGCCTTGTCACACACTGCAGGTGAAACAATGGCAAAACTGACCTCCTTAGGCTTTCAAGTGATGCCCCATCCACCCTATTCTCCCGACCTGGCTCCTTCTATTATCTTTCCCCCAAACTAAAAAAAACACCTAAAGGGACAACGATTTGTGAGTATTCTGGAGGCAACTAATGCTGCAAATGAGTGGTTATACCAGCAGTCTAAAGAATTTTATTTGCAGGGACTTAAGAAGCTGCAGGACAGATGTCGCAAGTGCACTGACTTCTTGGGGGACTACGTAGAATACTGTGGCAGTTACAGATTCCTGGCTCAATTTTTTCTGGGAAAGGCTCAATACTTATCAGCACCCCCTCGTACAACTCCCTGAATCCCCCAGCCTGCATGATACAGTACAAATGTCCGAGCTATATAGCCAGTAAGAATGCCCATTGCAGAATAATTTCTAGGGGAAGGTTGTGGACAATAGGAAATACACAGGTTATATGAAGGAATTTGGAACAATAACTATTACACTGATCAGTTAAAAAGAAAAAAGTGTGAGCATTAAATGAATGCTACTATGGCCATTGTTGTTATTATTATTAATTTTATTTATATCCCGCCTATCTAGTCAACTCAGGACCACTCTAGGCGGCTAACAAATGCAAGCAACTGGTCTTGTGAGTTCCATTAAACTCACATGACAGATACTACTTAGTGTACACGCACAAGTCTCATGTGAGTTTAATGGAACTTACAGGGCAGAAGATGGATTTGATTTAAATCATTGATCCCCCCCCACACACAACACTCTGTAGACTAGTTAAATGGATAAAGGATTGTATCTTTACTCACTGCTTTAACTATTATCTGTCATTCCTCTTCCAACATAGGATCAATCATATCTGACAGAAATTGTATAAATGACAGTAAACAACAGCAAATAACAAAATGTTATTTGATGTCATGGATTAGATGAATAGATAATTGGATTTGCCAATATCCAGTCCAATCCTACTCATGTTAACTGAATTCAGGGGGCTATCAGGCATCAGGTAGACTCAGATGGTCATTTCAGATAGAATTCTGGTGTTATGAATCAGGGGGCTATCAGGCATCAGGTAGACTCAGATGGTCAGAATTCTGGTGTTATGAAAGGACTGCAGGTTCATTAAGAACCTTGATCCACTTGTGGCTTTGTTTTTTTAACTGTCAGGGATGAGAGAAGTCTCTTGTAGGATATGCTAACTTAGATGGTCCAACAACAAAACACTTGGTTAGTCACCAGTAAAGTACCTTAAGACTCAATATCAGGCATCAGGTAGACTCAGATGGTCAGAATTCTGGTGTTATGAAAGGACTGCAGGTTCATTAAGAACCTTGATCCACTTGTGGCTTTGTTTTTTTAACTGTCAGGGATGAGAGAAGTCTCTTGTAGGATATGCTAACTTAGATGGTCCAACAACAAAACACTTGGTTAGTCACCAGTAAAGTACCTTAAGACTCAATGAAAACGTATACAGACTTTCTTTTAATTTCCTTGAAGGTGACACTTGAACATTATGCATCAAGCTTTTTAAAAGCAGTATCTGCATTTCATAGTATGCTGGGATGCTTTCATTTTTACTGCTGTATCTTCTTTAATACAAAACCAAAATAAAGTGCTACACTACCTTTAAACTAAATTTAATTCCACAACTTCAATTCGCTTTTTCAAACATTGCATCTGAAATGCCGTAGTGGGTTTTGACCAAGCTCTCAATGAAAATAAATTTGTTAGTCTTAAAAGTACACCAAGGTTTATTTTTGTTCGCTTTTCCTTCTTTTTAAAAAAGACTAACAAAGCTATCTGAAGGCATTTATAACTGAATTCGCCCATTCCTGTCCATTTTAAATTTATACTGAATCTGAAGTAATAAGCAGAAGGCACTAAGAGAAATAAAAATGCAAATAGGCACAGTACTCATAAGACAGCCACATTACACACTTTTTAAATTTATACTGAAATTGAAGTAATAAGCAGAAGGCACTAACAGAAATAAAAATGTTGCACTTTAAGTAGATAGGAAAAATATCAAGCGTTTGTGATTAAAATTACATTTTAACTTTATTCTATTATTTTTAGTCATGTACTTGGTTAATTTATATTCTCCTTTCATTTGAGAGACATAGATACGTAATGTGTCTACCTAAAACCAAAACCCAGTACAGTAGTCACAAAATAATTAGAAACAAGCTTAAGAAATACAGTATTTTATCCTTTATCTCACCAAGGGTTTAGACACAAGGACGTGTTTCTATCCCTGCTTTGCCCATTCCGTTCTCTTTCCTCCATGACATCGATAGGCCTATCCTTCCTTCATTCTTTCTCCCTTAATCCCAGTTAGCTATCTCGACGGTCTGAGGGTGTTCTTTTCCCGCCATTTCCTCCCGGCAGCAGGTCTCTCCTGGCACATGCGCAATGCCACCACCATCCCTTCTCTCCCCCCCTCCCCGTTGAATGAACGCGGCGTCGTGGCAACGTCACCGGAAAGTCCCGGATGTGTCAGGTCAGGGCGCTATGAGGAGACCACAAGGGGACGGCCGCAACCACCGTATATCCTTACCAGGTGAGGTGGAACGGGCGGTGGACATAATTCACCACATTGCAGGGGTAAAGGGAGAAAAACATATTACAAGCGGGCGGCTGCTCGCAAACTGCTAGCCGACGGCGCCTGACGCAGGAGAAGGGGCGGGGCAGAGGGGAAAAGGGCTTGGACGAAAACTGCGCAGGCGCAACGGCGTGAATGCCTCCATTAGGGACCTTGGCGCATGCGTCTTCATTCAAAAAATCGCGGAGTCTGCGCAGGCGCGTTATATAGACGGGCTGTCTAGCTATGGGAAGGTACAGGTGAAGTCCAGGGCAACCATACGATACAAAAAGTTTTGTGGCATGATCTGTTGCGCCTGCGCAGAAAGCAGTAAGAGAGGAACAGTCACATCCTGCAGCTTCGTGGCTTTTCTTTCCCCCATCCCACCCCTTTCCTGTTGCGCCTGCGCATAATGTTGCTGCAGGGGCCTTGCGGAATAATGATCCTCTGCAGCTGCGCAAGGGGGAAAGAATTGCGAGTGGGAGACATGCTGCCAAATAGTGAGCTCTGAGTGCTATTGCTGCTTCTCACAAGGGGAAAAGAAGAGAAGGAGGGGACCAGGAATTGTAGTGGAGTGTGGAAGGGAGTCTCCCTGTTTGTTACCTTTATTGTCTCCACCCACTACACCTGCCTGGATCATTAGCTTCCTCCTGTTTGTCCTGTTAGAGAACAAAGTGGCAGAAGTTATTTACTGAGCCCAACAGGTAAGAGTCCCTTGACCTGACCGTTTTCCTGAAAGGTGAGGAATGTGGGTGTCAGTTGTAAGCGAATAGCATAACATTATGTTTATCGGGGATTGAAGGGATGCTGAACCTTAAAAGTTGAGCTGAGATCTCCTGTGGTCTAATGGCTGAAGAGTGTTGTGAAGTTACTGGTGAAGTCTGACCAAAGTAAGAGACTGTACTGCCTGTAGGCAAGAAGCTCAGTTTCTATTTCCCTTGTATGTTCCATGGTAAGGAGTTTCACAGTTTTTTGGTCAGGATCAACGTCTTAGGATCTGGGATGCTTCTAGGGAATGAACATGTACACACTGTGGGAGATATGGGCTGGATGGCCTTTGGGTTCCTTCTGGCTCCATGATTTAAAGATTTCTTCCACTATATAGGTTCCTTCAAATGTGGAGTAGTTGGGCCCTTCTGAATTTATAAAGAACTTTTGAGATACAGTGAGTCAGGAATGTAAATAGAGGCCCACTTCATGCAACTCTGTCTCCCCCAGTCAGTGATTGGTGAAGAACATAATGCTTTATAATTTTAATTGTAATGATGATTGGGACAGAGTGTATCAGATTCTGAATGAAAGAGGGGAAAAAAGCAAAGCATAGTCGCAGTTCTGAAGTTTGTCTTGTCACTAATTAGAAAAGGTCTGAGAAAAAAGTTATGTGGAGAGTGCAGGTTACTGCATAAACAGGAGAAATTTTAGCAGGTGCAGCTTTACCTGTCACTTTATTGCAGTGATGGGGGAAGCTGAAGCAGCTAAAAGTCCCCTTGCAGCTAGTGAAATTGTAGAAGCTTCCTTTCCAATACTCAATCTGAGGATAGTATTTTTTGTTATGGATTAAAATACAAGAGCTGGACATCTCTTGAATGCTTAGTATGTATATCTTTTTAAAAGTTGCACCTTGGTATGATGTATGTAACTTCTCTGAACAACCTGACAGAAGTGCAGGGACACTGAACTTAAATGAGCTGAATTAACTTGATGAAGTGTAGTGCTGGTTGATCAATACATTTAATTTTGATTATTAATGCCCCAAATTGCAGGGTAGATGACATTTAAATTTTAATAAAACACGATTTGTTCTTTAAACATACCCCAGTAGTCAGAAAAGCACACCCCTTATTCATTTATACCAGCTTGTCAGAGGAAATATATTCTGTCATTAGTGAAGGATATTGTGGCATTACTTCTGACATACTTTTAGGAAGAATTCCACAACTAGGGCTCAAGTGTGAAACCCTATTACATTGCTGTTGTATTCTGACATAATAGTTAATTGTGAGCTGTCAAGTGAGTTCTGACTTATGACAACCCTTTTCAGGGTTTTCTAGGTTGAGAGTACTTAGAAGTGGTTTACCATTCCCTTCTTCTGGAGTCATCCTAGGACATTGCAGCTTGCTGAAGGCCACACAGGCTGGCTCTTCTGGGATACACAGTCGGGAACTGAACTCCCAATCTCTGGCTTTACAGCCAGATATTTGAAACACAGCACCATTTTAGGGAGAAAGCTCAGTCCGCCCTCTTAAGAGAGGGTTAGGGGCAGAGAGAGGTGTTGGAGTAAACAGTGGAGAATTGCTAGGATAGAATAAAAAATAATGAGGTGATTTGCTAGTACTATGCTATAGCATGCAGTCAGTTCCCACCAATAGTGTGGCATTCTTTTCAGGGTGGATTTGATTTAAATCACAATTTAAATTTTTAAAAAATGATTATTTGACAATTTAAATCAAAAATCATTTTTAAAATTTTAATCAGTTTGATTTTTTTTAACAAAATCATTAATTGTTATCCACCCTCATTCTTTGGATAGGTTACTCACTACTGTCAATTGTACTGTTTATAGCAATAGCATGCAGGATGAGATTGATGGGTCAAAATAGTCTTGTGAATAGCTACTTAACTAGTCACTCATGACAAGCATGAATAGCTTCCAAGTAACCAGGCAGGAAAACTTTTGTAACTTGCTGCTTGTTTTCTTTTCAATGACATATTATTTCACACTGATGTGTGTGGGCAGGAAAGCTAGTTTTACAAAAATTATTTTTGTAGCATTAATTTGCAAGACTGTCTTAAATGTCTAAACTAACAACTGCTCTGTAGTTGTGGCTTGTTCGTTGCAATGTTAATGAGACAGGGGTGTTCTAAAATGAAAAAAAAAAGGTTTTGAAGTGGTGAACTTAAACAATACAAGGATAGCTCATGTTCCCTAAAAAGTGTAGGATTTCTCTTGGCCATCCTAATAAAAAGAATGAAATCCAATGATGGGATGTACTCAAGCTTGGAGTTTCCTAGGGTAGAAACTGAAGGAGAAACAAAAGCTGCCACGACTCCACAGAGAAGTATTGTCCTTATTATCTGCCTGTTGAGGATGAGAGCGGAAGAAGAATACAGAGAAGTATTGTCCACCTGTTGCGGAATGTGAGAGCAGAAGCTCTACATGGTGGCTCTATGTGCTAAGCCATGCCATTTCAGAACTGTGATAAAATGAAATATTAGAATGCTCTTCCAGTTAAAATACATCGCTCACGTTAATCCAAGTTTATCAGCAGAAAGAACTGTCTACAGTTTTTTACTTGACCTGGTAGTTCTGAGTATGAATAGAATATTTGGGCACATGTAGCATTCATACATTTGATCCTCACTGAAGTGACATAGTCCAGGAACATATGAAGCATGTGGAGATCTACCTTTCTGTGTGAGCTCTGATAGTTGTAATGAGTAACCCAGCCACTCTGTTGGAGAACTGGTTGGAGTGGGTGTAAGACAGTCTCATAGCCTGATCAGCACATGGGAGGAGTCAAGGAAGAAAAGCCTTGTCTCTTCTGAAAAAGCTTTTTTTTTCTGTTTTGAAACTGCTTATTCAGGTATCCTGACTTAGATTTTTTCCCTTTTGCTGATTCAGTAGAACCCAGTGTACTCAGGTTGAATGTGTTGTTTTTTAGCACCCTGAATTGGCAAAATTGTCTGTTTTAGTCAGAGGTGAGGGTTTCCTGCAAAGTACAAGCAGCTAAACATAATGAATAAAAGTGGCATGCATGAAGCTAGCAGAGTTTTTGCTTTAATGAGGCAATTTGAGTACCTTCTGTTCGAACAAATGACATAAGAATGATGGAATTCGTATCTACCTGCTATATAACAATACATTCTCTCTTCCATATTGTCTGATGGCTGGTGTTGATGGTATCAGGCATGCACAGACAATGTGAGCAAGAAAGTCCGGTCATCAGTTCTTGATGCTTTGTCCCTGTACTAACACACCACCACCATTCCCAGTGATCTTGACCATTAATGTTTTTCTATTGTTGAAAAAAGGAATACTGTACTTCTTTAAAGTAGTGGGCATATTTAGGGAAGTTGCCAAATCAAACATTGAGGGCATGCTATGATATACAGCAGGGGTGGGCAATTAATTTCTATAGGGGGGCCCACATGAAAAATCTGAACTGTGTTCAGGGGCCGAACCAACTTTACTTAAAAATAAAATGAAACAGTGATGGTTGTTGTGGGTTTTTCTGACTCTTTGCCCATGTTCTGAAGGTTGTTCTTCCTAACCCTAATGTTTCACCAGTCTCTGTGGCCGGCATCTTCAGAGGACAGCATCTTCAGGCCAGAGCACAGAGTGTTGTCCTCTGAAGATGCCAGCCACAGAGACTGGCGAAACGTTAGGAAGAACAACCTTCAGAACATGGCCAAAGAGCCCAAAAAAGCCACAACAACCATTATATTCTGGCTGTGAAAGCCTTCGCGAATACAATGATGTTATGATTGTTTAAAGTACAGATGGTGTTTTATTAAATTTTAAATGTCACCTACCCTGCAATTTGGGGCATTAAGTACATTAATGATCAAATTCAAACATCTTAATCAACCAGCACTACGCTTCATCAAGTTAATTCAGCTCATTTAAGTTCTCAGTCCCAGAGTTCTGTCAGGCTGTTCAGAGAAGTTACATACATCATACCAAGGTGCAGTTTTAAAAAAGATATACCGTATTTTTCGCACCATAAGACACACTTTTTCCCCACAAAACAGGGGGGTGGAAAGTCTGTGCGTCTTATGGAGCGAAGAAAACAGATTATATTTTCCTGTTTTCTTCTCCTAAAAAAATTGGTGCGTCTTATGGAAAGGTGCGTCTTATGGAGCGAAAAATACGGTACATACTAAGCATTCAAGAAATGTCCAGCTCTTGTATTTTAATTCATAACAAAAATACTATCTTGTTCTCTTTCTAAATGTACTAGTTCTGTGCCATTCCTAAA